GCTTTGAATGATTAGCTTGACCATATATGGCTTTGTGTTACTTTATACCAAAAGCTCTTTTATCGATATGTATTCTTCATTATCCTATATCCATAAACAGCCACCCTCCTTTCCTCTTCACTCTCTCTCTCCTTCTCTCTCTTCCCCCCCCCCTCACATCCTTAATTCAATTTATCTATTTTCATTTTTATACAAAAAAAAGCTTCTAACGATTATTTTATAACTTAAAATTGATTTAAGAAAGAGAGAGAGAGAGGGATAGAGGGAAGGATGCAGAGAGAGAGAGAGAGAGAGATGGAGGGAGGGAGGGTTGATGAAGACGAGCAAGACAACTCGCCCTCCTCCTTCACATCTGTTAATATATCATCTATGTTTATTTGAATTAACAATATAGTATATATAGTATATAACAGAGACAAACATCTCTCCATACCATCTCCCTCTCTCTCTCTCTCTCTCCCTCCCTCCCTCCCTCCCTCTCTCCCTCTCTCTATGCGCTAAGAAAACAATTCATTTGAAAATTCTATTATGCCTTTCCAATTCAAAATTCATCTTTTCCAATATTGAAAAGACTTCATTTGATTATGTTTGTGTTTAAAATTGAAATTTTTCGTTCGGAAATAAGCCTTGCTTTTTGCAAAGCCAATATCTCGAAATTCGAGCATTTTACTCAAAAAGCTCGGTGATGATCCGTCTCCACCACGTCAAGTCTCTCTTTGAACGACAGTTTGATGTGGAAGAAGAAGCTTGATTTCTCTTTATTCTACTTGTGCTTCTTCTTTTCATTCTCATGTTCGCCATCAACCTCACTCTCTCTCTCTCTATCTCTCTCTCTCCCCCTCTTTTCCACTTTCTCAGTTTAGTCATAATTGAAAATGACGTGATACGTACTCATATCCACGTGATATTCTACGTGACTCACGTGAAACGTAAAGTTCTCATTTTGTGATGTTGTGCGCGCTTGAGCGGTTGCTTTTCTCAATGATTGTGTTGTGTTAGTGTTTTGCACATTTCTCTATTGAGGATTCGTTTTTGATATTGTTCGCTTTTCTCTCTCTCTCTCTCTGTTTCTATCTCCCTCTCTCTCTTTCTCTACCTCTCTCTCTTATTCTCTCTCACCTGCTTAAGATTTTGGAAAAATCTTTAATCTTTCGCAGCTTAATCACAACTTTCCTTGTTAATTCTAATAATATACAAGCAAGTGGAGGGAAATGTATGAAAGAGGCGATGAAGGGAGGGAGGGAGGGGTGGGGGGAAGGAAGGGAAGATTAAACTATTGCAAAATGAATTAGATTATCTTTAATATGAAGATTTGATTTCATCTCTCTTCTACTGTTGCTGAGCATAAGCTTACATCATCTGAATTGCCATATTGATTCAATCAATATCACATACTCATCTATAACGAATTATCTTTTTGGGGAAAGTGGGGCAATCGTTGTTTGACGTCAATCATTAAGCTTCAGCTTTAAGCATCTACTCCCTTGTAATGGCAAGTCTTCGTTTTTAGCTGATTTTGAAAGGTTTCGGAGCGGAAAACTCACAAAATGACTCGAAATATCCGACTCAATGACCAAAGGGTGTAAATCGTAAATCAGTTAACTCCCTGGGGCCTCGTCATTCGTCATTGGATGTTGTCCTTGCGGTGACGACGTCATCTGAATGGTCGAAACAAAAAAAAACGAAGTTGCCAAAGAAATGAAAACGTAGAGAGGAGAAGCATGGATGAAGCTTCATCGTCTTTTGGCTCTTCAATCCAAAAATCTAATTTGTTGTTAGCTTGTTGTCATCGACTTGAAGAGATGAAGCACAAAAAAGAAAGTTTGTTTGACTTTTCACACACACGCACACACACACCATCTCCCTTCTTCCATCCATCCCACCCAGAAGCTGTGCGAACAGTAAGAAGAGAGTGGGACTGTCAACAAATCATGAATGCAATGGATATCTAATGCTAGTTGAGGAAGATCACATTTTGATGTTTCTTTTTGACATTCTTCAACTAAATGTTTCATTTCATCTGAAAGCACACTTGATAGCTCTTTTCAACTTGTTTCTCTTTGCTCTCTAACGTCTCTCAAAAACGTTTTTTTCTGCTCTCTCTCTCTAACTCTCTCTCTCTCTACTCTTCTACATTTCGTATGACTTGCTTACTGATCTTCTAAGCCCGGAATCAACTTTCATTTCCTTTCTTCTATGTGTCTTCTCAGATAATTTGAGTGATAACACAAAATGCTTAGAAACATCTTCTGTCATCCTAAGTTCATTTCCTTCGTCTTCTCCCTCTCAACATGCAATTCTACTTGTTTGTTCCTCTCCCCCACTCCCTCTATCTCTCTCATACACTCTCTATCTCCTTATACAGTATTGTTTTTTGTGAGTTTGAACTTGAGTTAGACTGATCTTCTTGATGTTAAGACCAATCTACACTTTGAATGATCTTTCATCACTCCTTCTACTTTCCGATTCTCTTAAGATCTAACTTTCCCATATGCTCAGGTTGAGACATGAGAATTTGAAGTTTGTGTCCTCTCACTTGTGTCCAATATGAATGGGCAGTTTGCCGATATTTGGCTGTTGCCTATCCCCCAGTGACATCAAATTTCGAACGAGTAATCTATCAGTTGAACATTTCATCTGCTTATTTGGAGAAAACTGAAAATGTCTTGATAATCAGTCCAAATTGGTTGCTTCTTAGGTTGGGTCCTTAACTCTCATGCATTCATTTCATTCTTTCTCACCCTGCATTCCTCTTTTGAATGTGTTCTTCTTCTTTTCATCTCTTCCTCTCTCTTCATCTCTCTCTATCTGTCTTACTCTTACCTTCTTTCAATCTATTCCTCTCATCTCTTTTCTCTTTCACTTTCTCTCTCTCTCTCTCTCTCTATTATTACCTCTTCTCTTCATATGTATGGCTTACTTCATTACTTCCTTCTCTCTTATAGCTTCATCTCTCCAGTCCCGTCTTCATTCTCATCGTTATGCTTGCTCCTTTTCATTTAGTTTACTATTCTTTCACTTTTTAATAATCAAAACCCCATGTACTCATTGAAGATTGCAAAATATCATCAACTTGCCTTCATTTGAATTTTCTTTTTTTGGTTTGACTGACGATGTTTGAAGTCATGCAAGTCAATTCCAAATCCCACACAAGTGGTTCTCTCTCTCTCTCTATGTTTAACCCTCTCTTCCCTCAATTCCTCTCTCTCTCTCTCTGTTTCATCATCTCCATTTCTCTTTTTTTGGCATTATTTAAGCTATCGAAATCATTCAGGATAGCACGTGTAGCTCAAAAATGGTCAAAGAACGTCTTCAGGCATTCTCAACCCTAAGTTCTCTTCCTAAGTTGCCTAATCGACGGCCATCATTTATGGTCAGCATCCTTCTCTTCCTCTCCTTAGGTGAAGAAAGAAAACATATTCTCTTTCTCCCAAAAACGTATTTGTAATCTTTCAAGTTGAAAAGTTGGTCAAAGCTCCAACAAGCACATATTTCCCAAGTTTTGTTTCCATAAATACAACTTTTCTCCAAATTTTCTCTCTCCCTCTCTTTCCTACCCTCTTCATCTCTCTCTCTCTCTCACTCTCCCTCCCTCTGTACTTACTGAAATAACTAACATATTTTTGATATTGACGTTTGTCATTCAAGTTTCAAGTGAGGTGAGTTGTAGTTTAACCTTCTGGCACGCTTAACACCATAGCCTTGCCATTCCTTCGAAGTGTTTCGTTCTTTTAGCCGCCATTTGAGCAGAGTCCAAAGGTTCACTATAATTCATTTTATGTTTTGTTTCTCTCTCTCTCCCTCTCTCTTAACACTTCGTTTCCTATTTTTGTATCAAAACCCTTTTACCTCCCTCATTTCCCGTCTTCTCATCTGTATTTGCCACCTTCGCTTACCTGGCTACCTCTGCTTATGCCTGTGCCTCTTCGTTCCTCTCTCGTTCTGACACCTTTGTATTTGAATGTTTGGAAGGAAATTAGTCGAATTTGGCATTTTGAATGAAGTTTGATAGTCATTTAAGCTTACACACGCAGTGTTATCTTATAAAAAGAAAGCCGAAGAAGGGAAAAGCTTGTTGTCCTTCTATGGTCTGACATGGGACATGCAAGAGTAAACCTCTCATAGATATGTCAATCATTTTGTTACTTTCTTTTACGGAAATTGAATGTGCCCTCAGTACTTACATATCTTAACTCATTTCCGTCTACTACAACTCCAGCAGCTCAAAACGTGTTGCCATAGTAACGGTTGAAACACATTTTTATAAAAACTCCTTCATTCTTCACCTTCTACTTACAACATGCTCTTTTAAGATATTAATTAACTATATGATAAGTAACACATATGATGGTATATGAGAATTGGCTGTTGACCATATAAGTGAGACACAAGTAGTGTTGTTGGTAGACCTTAGAGACTATACATATCCTCCCTCTCTCTCTATCTCCCTCTCATTCATTATACTGCAGCTTCTCTACCTCATCGTATATTCCCCTCTCTCTCTCTCTCTCTCAAATAAATCCTCCTTTTCGCATTCTCCATATAAGCTATTCTACTTTCGCAGATTTCAAATAATCTCAATAGAATGAATTAAAAAACTTCCGTTAATAAATCCCACCCAAAATCCGCCGGATGAATTTTTTGGAAGCCGATCTCTCATTATTCATGAGCCATCCCAGCTGATCAGAAAACTCTTTCTAATGGCTTCTCATGGAACGAGTACTTCTCTCTCTCTCTGTATCTCTCTCTCTCTATCTCTCTCTGTATGTTCTTGTTCCGGTTCAGTTTTAAAATATTCGAACTTTTCAACTTTCTTGTTTGTCAAACATGTAAATGCCTTCATTTTTTGAGTGAAAGTTCGTTGACGTCGTCATTGCTTTATCCCTCTTCTCATACTCTCTCTCTGTGTTACTCTCTCTGTCTCTCTCTCTCTCATAACTTGATATACATCACTTATCGTATTCGTTGCAGCTCTTTACGTTTAGCCTTCTAATGGCACAATGGGCAAAAGCGGCAGTAAACTAAAAGCAGAAGAAATCAAATCATTGGCTCAACGAACTTATTGTAAGAGATTTAAGCTTTTCATCTAAATATATTTATTATTTATTAATATTTATAAAGTTAAATTGAATATTCGCTTACCGTCTCGAATGCAACCGCTTTCATCTCCCTCTCTCACTCAAATGAATTATGAATTGCATTTTTCATCTTTTTTTTTTTTTTTGAAAAAGCTACGTGACTCATGTCAATATGCTAATTTCATGCGCGTGCACGCCTTTTCTCAAAAATTCAAATTTCAACGAAACTGAGACGTGTGAAGAGAGGTTACAGAGGTGAGACATAGAGATGTGTGTGTGTGTGCATGTGGAGATGTGTGTGAGACGGAGAGATGAAAGCGAAACTTTAAAAAATGAAAAATGAATAAACGTATAGCTTAAACAGTTGTCTATATAAGGTAGTTAATTAGCATAATTATTTTATTTTCTATATTATTAACTATTCAGTTACGGAAAAGGAAATTAAGCAGTGGTATAAAGGATTTGTTAGGGATTGCCCAAATGGAATGCTTACTGAAGCTGTTAGTTTCATTCATTCATTCTCTCTCTCTCTCTCTCTCTCTCTCTCTTTGTACTTTCCCTCTCTCTCTATCTCTCTCTCTATCTCTTTATAAGTTGTTTATTTCTCTTCCATTTCAGGGTTTCCAGAAGATTTATAAGCAATTTTTCCCTCAAGGAGATCCATCTGATTTTGCCTCCTTTGTTTTCAAAGTTTTTGATGAAAATAAGGTACGATTAGTGAGAATGAAAGAGATTTTCTCTTCTTGTTCAACAGATTAGTTATCTGATGATGATGATGATATGATTTAGGACGGAGCCATAGAGTTTCATGAGTTCATCAGTGCTTTATCAATTACATCACGTGGCAATCTGGATGAGAAACTACATTGTAAGCATTAGTAGTATCATAACACTCATGTAAGGATATTGCTTATAGGGGCTTTCAAACTGTATGATTTGGATAATGATGGGTTTATAACACGTGATGAGATGTTATCGATTGTTGATGCTATCTATAAGATGGTTGGATCAACAGCCAAGTTACCTGATGACGAGAACACTCCTGAAAAGCGTGTTGATCGTATTTTCAAAATGATGGATAAAGTATGTTGAAAGAGATGATGATGATGAGCTTATCTTCTTGTCTTCAGAATAATGATGCTCAACTGACTCTGGAAGAATTCAAGGAGGGAGCAAAAGCTGATCCATCCATAGTACATGCTTTATCTCTTTACGAAGGATTATCATCCTGATTCTCATTCACAACAACAGCCCATCAAACATTCATTAACATCCTTTCTACTCATTGTTTGTTTCATATATTATATTTTTGACCAAAAGTCCTTATTGGAAATCATGGCTTCATCTTTGTTTCGTCAATCACCGTCTTCTGAACTCACCATAGCCTTGATATCCGAATTGAAATGTTTCAATTCGAGTCAATCAACCATCTCCCTCTCATCTCTCTCTACTCTCTCTCTACTCTCTCTCTCAGTCCCATTTTCAGTTCAGTACGCTCACAATCAAACAGAATTCTAATAAATAATTTATAATATACTTATATGGATTTATAAAATAATTATAGTAAGTTGAAGTGTTTACCTTGATGCTCGTCCTCCTTCTCTTCCTCACCTCTTCCTCTCTCCTCCTATCCCGAACCTCATACACTCTAAAAGCTCTTTATTCCAACTTTTTATTCAGCATTTTGAGAGGGAAAATCTCTCATTATAATCTGCAACAACACAAATGATCTACCAACAGCCTATTTTTCCGCCAATTTCAGTTTGAATGGAAGGAAAGTAAAAGAATAATATCTCCTCTCACTCTCTTCTCTTGATTGCTGAGCCCTCCTCTCGTCACTTGCTCTCTGTCAATTATCCTCTAAGGATATCTCAACTGGGCGGGAAGAGAGAGAAACGAGAACGTTCTTGTTTCATTGATAACAACCCGAATCGTTTTGGAATCATTGCTCAGTTGAAGTTCTTCCTCAGCTGACAGACTACACAACGCAATGAATATCTCCAAAAATAACTTTTTGATTATCATTCTTGAGGAGAAGGAGAGCAATGATCTTCTTAACCCACTCATACTTATTGGATGGATGTAGGCGATGCTCAACAAACTCTTCGTCCAAATTCATAAATCACACGCAAAATATTGTTTTTTTGTCGTTTGTTGGATGCTTTACGAGATGTGGAAGAGTTGAAGATGATGATTCTCGATGATTCTCTCGACGAATCGTCTTCTTCGTTTCTGACATTCGAGGCCTATTCGATGTTTGTAGTCGCAACACGTCATGAGGGATGTTTTATTTCACAGAATGGCCTTTTAAGCTTTTGCTATAAACAGTTCAGAAGCTTGTGAAGCGACATAGCTCTTCTTAAGTTTCATTTTGATTCAAACTGAATCTTATTCAATCAGGTATAAGGGAGCAACCGCTCTGGGATGTCCGATAGTGCCAAGTAATGATAGAAACGGAAAATCATACAAGAGGGAGGAGATATCGAAGGCTGGTATGAGCAGAGTGCATTACAGATGCCAGGTACGTACATGGCACGAACACAAAAGGCTTTTAGCTTTTTATAGAAAATCGTTTTGAATTATTAAAAGGAGTGTTTTCATTATTAATAATACTCTTGCAAGAAGTAAAAAGAGGAGAAAAGGAAAAGCCAAAGATCAGTTCAATGGAACAGACAAGAAGTGAAAGAGAACGGAAAGTCTTTGGGAGTTCGTCATTTGGAACACAATCTGCCTTTTGTTTTCTTTGAAAATAGGCATCTCTTGTATCGGTATCTTGTATCGGTGAGGTTTTGTTTTGATAGAAATAGTGTATTTTCAGTTTTTACCAGATTTCTAACTGTGGTTCGTTTCTGTTCGTTCCATATAAGGGAATTTCAGAACGAAAACGAAAATCTTTCTCGTGTTCCCTTTGAGAGCCAAAATCTAGATTGACCCAAGTCGTATATTTGGAGAGCTATGATCTGAACATTCTCCTTGTACAAAAATATTTTCATTTCTTGTGCTTGTTTTCATACTCGATCGAATCGGTCTCGAATGCTCTTTCCAAATATGGTACTCGTTCCCTATTCCGTTCATTCCGAAACGAGATATCCCCTCGTAAACTTTCCTTCATAATGACCACGTAGTGTACGTCGTACGATGTACGTTGCGGAAGTTTATAAGTACACGCTGCGTTTCACATTTCACGGCCCAGATTCCTAGGGGGGAGTCAAATCTATAACACTCAGACTCGCATTTTTAAAAGTTTTTTCCTCCTGATTTCCGTGTCGAGACCAATAAAAACTTTTAAAAACTTTTCCAAAAAACTCATAATTTACATGCTTTTTTTGTTTTTTTTTGTTGTTTTCTTCTATTTCTATGCTTTTTCATTGTTTCTTTCTTGAATGTTGGGAGGTTGAGCAGCTTTTCTATGTATTTCATGAGCAAATTTGCTGTATTCATTCTTCTTCGACACGGCTTTCGAATAAAAAAAAATTTGTGAAATTTCGTTCAGTTTGAGGAGAGTTACAGCGTTTTCCGTGCTATCGTTAACACCTGAAGCACCACCGCTCCATGCGCTTCAGATTCTTAAAATGAAACGGGTTTCATTTCATTTTTTCTGAAAAAAAAAATGAATTCCCGGCGACTAATCAGTTCATTTTCTAAGCTTAGCTTTTCGAGTAAGCGGTCGTGTTTCACGTTTTACGTGAAATAGGGAACAGAGCTGAACGAGTTGGCTTCACTCAAATGGTCATAACTCAATCGAACATCAGCCGATTTGCTTCATTTTTTCTTATTTTTAACCCTGAATGGTCCTTCAACCACTTAGGTGGTCTCGTATTTCTATTTGCCACGTGTATTGTTGTACATTTCATGTCTAATGCATAAGCATGATCGTTCAGAGCGTTGCCAGCTTGAACCGAGATTGAACAGAGCTCCTTTTAGATTTAGTTGACTGAACTCTTGTACTTTCCATCGATTTTTCTGTTTCCATAATTTGTTATCGATTGATTACTTGGATCTCTTATGTCTTCGTTTCCTTTTCCGGTTTTTTCTGT